CTTGAAAAGTTTTAAGTTATAATGTTCAGGGAACAAGTCTGCAGGCAGGGAATTCCACTCCATAGCCGTTCGCCATATAAATGTGGAAGTGTAACGTTTCGTGCGAATCTTTGGAATATCCACAACATAGAGGTGGAACCCAAGTTTACGTGTACCCCACCGGTGATGGAAAGAGGAAGGCGGAATTGAATCGTGTAATTCCATCGCACACACTCCGTGATATGTTCTGTAGAATACCGGTAAGCAGGCAACTGTACGGCGGTGTTCAAGCATCTGCAGCTTCGCCTCTACTAATTCCGAGACACCTATGCCTCTTCGCATGCTTGTCAATTAAATCCAAGGTGGCCAGTTGGCATGTAGCAGAGTTATCCCAAAGGTGGCAGCAGTACTCCATGCATGACCGGACTTATTATTGTTACAGCTGAAGCAACAGTCCCGGTGCAAAGTAACGCCTCACCCTGAAAAGGATGCCAAGCTTCCTCCCTGCATTTTTGGCCATGGATTCAATGTATCTGCCGTACCTGCCATCGGTGTGGATATATCACGAAAAGTCGGAATCAGTACAAAGGGGTTCCGTTTTGTGGAGAATAGACATGCTTGTTTTGGTAGCGTTAAATTTGACAAGATTGGCATCGCCCCAATCGGAGACTGCCTGATCATTTGATCAGAGATTTGGATTTCCAAACGACTAACCATGGACTTTAGACAAGACTAGATTTCCGCTCCACTGACCCTTTGCATTGGTCAAATACCTATCTACAACTGTGCTGTCATCAGCGTACGCAAAAATACCTGGAAATAATATATCCTTGATACGCAGCAGAAAGAAAGTTGCAGAAATTACGGGACCCTGAGTCATCTATAGCCCGATGTTCGGAATAGTAGCCTTCTAAGACCACTCGAATCGAAGGTTCGCTCAAGAAATTCGAGATCCAATTCCAAAGGTCTGTGGGAAGCCCATAAGACGGAAGCTTACCTAAAAGGCTTGCGCACTAGAACCTGTCTAAGGCTTGCTGTCTAAGGCAATGTCCAAAGACACTGCAAGCACTTCGCCTTGCTTTTCTATAGCCTCGCCCGATATGTGACAGGCATACCTACTCAAGAAGATCCCCAGTAGATCGCCCTCGTCGGGATCCGTACTAGCGATCACTGAGGAAGGTCGTTGTCTTTAAGGTACGACAGGAAACGGTTCACATTCCACAGCACAGTATAAAAGTGAGTGAGATAGATCTATAGTTGACAGGATCAGCTCTGCTTCCTTTTTTGAAACAAGTGAGAGGCGATACAGGCCTTTTATACAGTAAGTGTACAATTTGGCCTATTATACGTTATTATGGAAAAGCGGCGTCCTGTAACAACAGCACTTTCTCTCTCTAAAAGTCGTGATACTTTTATAATGTATAGAGTGATTTTCTCCAAAACTATTGTAGTGAGACACATGGGAGTTTTACTCATGTATTCGTCCGATTTTAGGGGTAAAAAAAACGATGTGCATCGCATCCTCTCTGTAGTAATTAATAGCGATGGTACGAAATTATTTGTGATGAATTACATTTTTTAAATTTTTATTGAATTGATATTCTATTATTTTTGTGAAATTACTCCACAAGTTTGTTATAATTATTAATACAAAGATCGAACACTCAGAAAAAATTCCTTCGGTCCGGCCGGATTCGAACCGACGTCTTCTAGCATACCGTGGCAGACACTATACCAACTAAGCCACGGAACGAACCAGCGGACCTCACTAATTTTCCTATGTGCTTGTTGTCGTGTCTTTGTATTTGGTTTTTCAACGACTTTTTAGTCGTAGCGCCATCTATGAGAACTCTATGCAAATTTTATCACTCAATTAGATACCTTTACAGCTACCAAGCCTGGCGAGAGATGTCGCTATTCACTGTATTTTACATTTTTATTGAATTGATATTCAATTAGTTTTGTGAAATTACTCCACTAGTTTGTTATAATTATTAATACAAACATCGAACACTCAGAAAAAATTCCTTCAATCCGGCCGGATTCGAACCGACGCGACGTCTTCTAGCATACGGTGACAGACGCTATACCAACTAAGCCACGGAACGAACCAGCGGACCTCACGAATTTTTCTATGTGCTTGTTATCGTGTCTTTGTATTCGGTTTTTCAACGACTTTTTCGTCGTAGCGCCATCTATGAGAAATCTATGAAAGTTTTACCACCCAGTCAGATACCTTTGCAGCTACCAGCCCTGGCGAGAGATGTCGCTATTCACTGTATTTTAAATTTTTATTGAATAGATTACATATATGTTATGTGTTACATCGACATTACTCAGACATACGCTATTTCGACAATACTTTACATCGACATGATTTTACTCAAACACTACGCTACTTCGACAACACAGACAAGGAGTTTCTTAAAAAAAATTTTATACTCAGATAAGAAAAATCATCATTACAAACCCATGTAAGAAATGATTTCTTATATCGGTCAAATCAATCAATGCACACGTCGCATTGACTGCTATTGTTTATTATTTTGGATAATTTATTCACTTTTATAGTTTATACAAATTTAAAATAAAGTTATTAATCACTGTAGGAGACACTATTGTATGATTTGCGAAATTTTGCACTATAATTATAACGATTGCACACGCAGTAAAGAATAAAATATGATATGAAGAATGACAAAGACTTCTTGACCGTCAGCTGAACTTTATATATATACAAGCCTTGTACCCCACCTATGGTGGGGTCGGGCTCGGCCTGTGGCGCGTGGTCGGGTTTAGATTATGGGAGCGCGTCGTGTCGTTTTGGGTGACTTTAATTTTCCAAAAAATCAGTGGTAAGGATGATAATGAACATTCGATTAAGCCCAGTAACTATAACGGTCCCTTGGAATATTCCTTAATCGATTTCATGTCATTTAACAGTCTTGGCCAACTCAATCACATTCACAACAAAGACGGCAAAATTTTAGATCTTGTACTTACCAATGTTCCCCATGCATACGTCACAGAACCATTAAACCTGCTGACTAAGTTAGATTCTTATCATCCCCAATTGATGCTTGTGATTCCACTTCTAAGGCAGTATGAAACGAACTCTACGAAATGCACTAGATTTAATTTCCTTAAGGCGTACTATAATAAAATAAATTCCAAATTAGATGCTGTAGACTGGTTTAAGATGCTATCTGGTTCCGAAACTGTTGATGGCATGGTCTCCATTTTTTATAGTGAACTGCAGAACATAATTTCCCAGTTGGTGCCAAAATATAAGCCCAGAAAATCCACTTTTCCCCCCTGGTTCAATTACTCCCTTATTAAATTGCTGTCCGAGAAGGAAAAATTGCGGCGTAACTATAGAAAATTTAACAACCCTCGGGATAAGATAGAATTTGATTTAATAAGAAAGCACAATTTGACAGCAATCAACTTCGTAGTCCCTCACCGGCTGCCACGGCAGCCAATTCATAGAGTCTTTACTCCGCTAATTTACCACACATATATACGTTGTAATGCACCAATCAGTAGATTATGCAACGAGTACAAAAAAGTAGTGACATAGATATCCATCATGACACGCCCTTCCACTTTCGTCGTAAAGTAATGAATTCATCCCAATCGAATCCTAGAATGTTATGCCCATAAAAAAGTTATTAATTGGTAGCTTTATGTTTTTTGTAAGTAACTATATTGATTGTTTTACACTTTTGTACTATCAAACAGTGAAATGTTATTGCAGTTAGTACTATTATATGTCATTTTTAATTTTATTATTTATTTGAATTTAATTTCATTTTGGTAAAGGTATTTCAATTACTATGTTAAATCATTATAAATATTTATAGTTTTTATAACTTTCTAAGTCAGCATTTGGTTGAGTAATGACCTGTAACCGGAATACATATAAGAACAATGCAGAATGTAACCTCTAGTATAAGCATTATATGTAATTTTGTTGGTTTGCCAAATAAATAAATAAAGTTCATATTACATAACAATTATTTTATATATTATCAATGTAGGTAATTTTTACGTGGTATAATATAACTTTTTATAAATAATAACTTTAAAGACAACTCACCGTGGTACTTGTTTGTTCGATACTAGGAGTGTAATTTAAAAGCCGGAGGGAGAATTGTTTTCCTTAAAATAGTTTACAATGCTGAATCTTCATTTCGACAAAATTATTATTGTTAGACTCTGGATTCCTTGGTGGTAAAAAAAACAGACTTATTTTACGTAGGTCAAATCTTGATTGAGGCTCCCATTCAGTAGGTTAGGTTGAACACGAAAAAGCAGCATGAACCGATCGAGAGGAGCGAGCGTAGCGTTAGTGTCGCGGCAGCGGCTGGCGAGTGCCAGAAGTGAATTACAAAAGTGTTTACGTTTCCGAACATGTTTTAGGTCAAATTATAATCAATGTAATATAAGTATTAAGATATCGTTTTTCTGAATTGAAATAAAAGCATTTCATGCAAATATAATCAACATTTATTTATAGGAAATTAAACTATTTTTCCGGATTTAAATCGCGTATATTTGTTTTTTCAAACAAACCGACGTTTCGGGGTTTGTTTGAAAAAATAGTTTCATTTCCTATGTGTAACAATCGCGAAAACCTAAGAACTCGAAACATTTATTTAGTTTAACAAGCGTAATGTAATACAAGAGCTTGATATTTGTTTTTTGCTATTTACGAACAGGGGTTAGATGAAATGAAATTTAGATAAAATGATTGTTAAGTTAACTGAGGGTTATAACTTATGATTGTTATTAAAAATGAGTGTTAAAGTAAGTAATTGTTATATTAAATAAGTTATAGGAAGTAAAATTATGCCAATTAAGCGAATATTTTTAAGATGCATTTCACACCCCTATTTTTACATAGTCCAAGTCAAGGTTCGATTTATGAATTTTAGCCTTAGAATACAACGTCAAATACCACAATTGCATCTCTGATTTTGTTTAAATTTATATCTAAACACAGGCATCATTGTTCACAGATGGTCATCCTGGGAGTTTGGATTACTAGTGCCGTCTATAGTGCTCCGAAGTTTATCTGGGTGGATACTATAACAAACGATCTCGGCGACGGACACACGGAGACCATCTGCATTTCACATCGACTGAAATACAATTCGGAAATTTTCGACATGGTGAACTTTGGACTACTCTACGTGACGCCATTATGTGTAATGACGGTAAGGGAATTAGCTTAAATACAGAAAATAGTAAGCTTTAATGTACTTAGTACATACTAAGGAACTCTTCTTCAGTCGTTTATAAACGAGTGTAGTAAATGAAATTTTGAAATAAGTATATCTACGCGTAACACGTGCAACTCTACTTAACAACATTTTAGTATAAATTAAGCTAATTTTCATTTACTTTATAATATGTTATAATCATTCACATTCACAATCTTCAAACGATTTTAAACCTTCACACGCTCAAAACTAGGTAACATATCTATCCTTAACTTCTACTCAGTTAATTACGGATTACATTCTAGAAGAAAAGCACAAGCCTGTCCCTGTCCTGTTGTGTTAACCTTCATATTCAAAACAATGTGACGGACCTAAGCTTGTAAAAGTTTGAAGGGAAAATTTGCAACTTATGTTTCTTATCAACAACGGTATGCGGTAGCAGGCGCTGCAGGACTACTTACTAATTACGCGAAATCAAAACAAGAAATCGGTAAGCGCGCGCAATGTCAGTAGAAGCGAGGGATCAACTCAGGTCAAGGGCGTCATAGGTTATTAGGGGAATGGCGGTGATACGAAAACTTTTTCGAATTTATCGACGGAAGCGCGACACGGATGTAGGCTAGATAATAATAGTATACCAGAAACCACACCAATTATCTGATCTCAAGTTTCTCAAATTGGTCCTATCGATAATCGAATCCTGGACCTCCTCACACAGCTCAGTACTAACCGTTCGGCCGCCGAGGTCGTCAAATTGCACCTTTGACTCGCATGTCTCAAGGATCGAAAGTAAGTTCTAATTCCTGTGGTGTAGAAATCAAAATAAGTCGAATTGGTTATTTTGAATTCTTTCCTAGGTCGTGAAAAACAAATACGTAATGCAGATGCTATTTATGTATGTATATGGTACTTTTTTTCGACAATTGTGGGTGTTATGTTATGATAAAGGTTATATTAAGTTTTTAAAAGCATAATTAGCACGCACCACTGTTCCATCGCCGCACTGACCTTGAGTACGATCGTACACGCGAGTGGTGGACGGATCTGTGGCGCGGGGTAATGTGGATGGCTGGGATGTGTTATGTGTAGTATGCCTAAAATCGTCGCCGTTTTTTGGATAAATTTGTGAAATCATGTCTCAACATTTTAGTACTGGGTGATACCAAAATAAAAAAGTATGTTACCTATATTTTCATTAACGATCATAATATTAAAATTTAATTTGGCAAGTGACAAAAAATCACTCTGTATAATAAGTCCATTTTGTATTTGTTAATCCCAATGCTCAAACCCTACATTTTTCCGTACTTATGTAAGTGGTGTAACTATTGTGTCCATTTACACTAAACTTATCTTAAACCAATGCTTAAATTCAAAATATTTTCTTACCATAATGTACTAAGAGTGTCTTTTGCATTGCAAGCATTGGTTGAACTTAAATTCAGTGCAAGTGGACATTAATCGTCTTCGAACTATATTCCAGGCACAATCAGTTAAGGGTGGACTTAGAACACTTGTTACGAAACATACTCGTTCATAATATGAGTGAATATTTTCGCTCCTGCCAAACTTTCCGGTCCGGTGCATGAACATCCAGGTTTTGCTTGCGTCTTTTACTATATCATCGACCCAGTGCTCGATTGGAGGACCCCTGATTCTTCGACCTGTCCTTGGCCACCACTCCGTCAAGGCCTTATTCTAAAAGATTCACTGCCAATAAAATATTAATAAGAATCAAAATAAGAGCAAGTTGTTTGTCATAAAATACGTTTATAAAAAATGAAAGTAATAAAAAATTTGTTGAAGACGTTCTTAAGTTCATTGCAAGTGGCCATTAATCGTCCTCGAACTACATTCCAGCCCCAATCAGTTTGGGGTAGACTTGGAACGCTTGTTACGAAACATACTTGTGCATAATATGAGTGAGCAGCGTATACGGTACAAGATTTTGAAACCAGACGATTTGATTTACAAAGAGGACTTATAGGAATAAAACGCAAATAAGAGATTGCGAGAAGCAAGTTGAAATAGTGATAGCGGGATGTTTGTGCATAAGGAAGTTCCAGTTTATCCACTGACATTGGGCGAACATGGTGCCACTCACCACCGCAGCGTTGCGGCCGCGGCCGCAAGCCAATTTACTTGTGAATTACAAAAAATTTGGCACAAGCATTTATTGGCTAACACCGCTAGTTACAGTAATCGATTCAAATTTAGTTTTCAAACATGAGCTCACCAAAACGAACAATGCAATTGATCAGACACAGGTGCTTTAAACGTAGTCTACTCTCTCTGCCGTGTGGACATCGTAGCGATACACTTGAAGCCTTACTCTACTCCCAATTTCTCCCAAAATCTCAAGGCTTAGACATATTGCAATTCAAAATTGCAATATGTCTGAGGCGTTTGTTTGAATGGCAAAGGAGTTCTACGACAGATGTTTTTCTCGTGTCATTAAACGTAAGTAAAAGTATTCGTCCTAACATAGTTGTTAGGAGGAGTCGATGAAACATCGAAGTTAACAAGTAAACATTAAAAGTATGTAACAGCCTGAATATCGAACATTGTTTTGCTTTCAGCGTTAAGGCGTGCCCAAAATTCTTCCACCGTATGATGACAGCGCAGATAGCTATATGACAGATGACTGAAATATTACGTTTTATTTGGAGTAAACCGTCCAGGGAACGCTGTAACGTCTGGAATCTATTGATCTAACAGAGCGATTCAATTAAATAAAATGTAAATTCGGAAAGGAATGCGTTAAAATTTTAGATTTTATCATAAATTCCCTGGCAGCACCCCAGAATCCAACAACGACCATGTGTCACAGGGTGTTTTTTCGGACACTGGTTTTAAATTCGAAATATCTACAGACATATAATTTTAAATTTCAGAGTAGAACTACGGTGAATGGTAATATACATGTTGTATATTGTCAATATATGTACATTGTTGTAGGTATACAACATGTATATTGCCATTCACTCACTGATTGATACATTGAAACGAAATACCAATACAAACTTGGCTTTAATTAACTAGAAACGAGCCCACGTACAATAGATAGATTTAAAAATATTTGTATGACAGATACACTTCAACGATCACAGACAACACATACTGATAATTTAGGAAGCACAAAGGAGATTATATGTCATTCTCCCCCTCTATGGTTTCTTCGCCGAGTATGAATATATTGAGGCGTTGTGGAATTCTCCTAGACCTCGTAGATCTCCGAAGAGCATCCGGAGGCCGAACGTCGTGCAGAAGAGTTCCATAGACGTCTTCTTCGTGATTAGACACTTCATTAGGTTCATTAGAAGTACTTCCGTCTGCCAGTGTACCTTCTGACTGTTCATCAGCAACTGCACTATCAGAGAGTGAATCTTCTTTAGATATAGGAAGCGGCGCTAAGTGTCTGTTAGACACTGTAGATTCTTGGCCATTACGTCGACGTACACTCTGTGCCCTAAGATACCTGACCCCCTAAACTATATTAAACGACCTTTTGGTACTGAGCACAAAAGTGTGGAGAAAAGTGTTAAACAAACTTAATCTTTAATCTGTGTGCCGTAAAATGCATTTTCGCATGACTTCCTGTTGGCATCATTAGCGAATGACGTTTTAAGAATCTTTTTAAGCCAATTTGATCTTTAACGTATAGTTCTTACTTAAATACAGAATACAAATTTCAACCTGCTAAGCTAAGGTTACCGTGGTCTAGCGGTATAGGACTTGCTTTGCAAATATAGGTTCATGGTTCGAATCTTGATCGACATGAAAAATAATAATATTTTTTTTATCTCTGTATAGACCTCAGAACAATAAGTAAAGATGTAAAGAATGTCTTAGAATGTTATTTTTTCGATGAGAGTCAACAGACATTGGGTGAATGAAGCAAAAAAATAATTTCGTTGGTAATTGAACAAACACTTTATTTTATTGTGATAAATTATAATTAGTAAAGAAGTAGCTGTTAAATTATAATTGATTAAATTATAATTAGTAAAGAAGTAAATTATAATTAGTAAAAAAGTAAAAAATCTACCTACAGCCTGTATCAGCAACTGCTATACATACATTTTTTAATCTGACCACAGTGTTATACAATTTTAACAATTAGATCTATCTAACTTATTATTATCAGACAGGTTCAAGTAAGATAATATAGTAGAACAAAGTCTAAATTGACAAAATATTAGAAAAACTAATTTTATTATTAATTGTAGTAGCTTTACAGGCTGTATTTTTCAAAATTATACAGTAGTGCAGTGAATTACATGTTAAATTATTAACAATAACATCACTCACATTTCGATGCCAACAGGAAGTCATGCGAAAATGCATTTTACGGCACACAGATTAAAGATTAAGTTTGTTTAACACTTTTCTCCACACTTTTGTGCTCAGTACCAAAAGGTCGTTTAATACAGTTTAGGGGGTCAGGTATCTTAGGGCACAGAGTGTACATAGGAGTAGCTTGGATTACTGTGGAGCAGCTCAACTTCTTCGACGTAAGGGTCATTTTTCGACCGAACAAATTTCTTCAATAGAATGGGTCCCGGAACAAGCCAGGTTGGAAGCGATTCAGCGCCGAGAAGGCCGACACCCTGGCGGCCAAGCTGGAGGAGGTGATCGGGGGGCTGGCAGCAGTGACGCGGCCAACCAAAACCGCCGATTTAAGGGTCACCGGCCTCGACGAGTCGGTGACCCCGGAGAAGATCCGGGCGGTGGTGGCCGCGAAGGGCCAATGCCCCCAGTCCACCGTGAGCATGGGAGCCGTCAGACTGGCCCCCAACGGGAGGGGGTCAGCCCTCGTACGCTGCCCTGTGACGGCAGCCCAACGGGTGACGGCTGCCGGCCGCCTGTTGGTGGGTTGGTCCTCCGCTGGGGTCCACGTCATGGAGCCCCGCCCTATGCGCTGCTTCAAGTGCATGGGGATTGGCCACACCAGAGCCCTCTGCCCGTCCAGTGAAGACAGGAGCGGGCTCTGT